TTTTGCTAGGGCTGAATAAGCCTGCAAGTTGGCATTAGTTGGCAATAAAATATAGGGAACACACAGACAGCCTTCCTCCCTGTAGCACTGGTCAGGCTGATAAACAGGAGGCACTTTATCCAGCGCGGGCACTAATGACATTACTTATACGGCCAGCTCTGAAAGTCTGGATGCTGAGAGGAGCAGTGGTAGCAGCACTTGTTTGTTGGTGCCTTAGGACAACACTGCCAAAGGACCTGCTCCATTAAAAGCAAGAATTAGCCTCTGCCCCTTGGAAAGAAAACCTCGGCTCAGCTGTGGGCTCCTGGCTTGTGCTGCAGCTTGGTGCTTGCTTGCTTGTCCTGCAGCACTGCTGCAGTCATGGGTACTGGGGGCTGCGTGGGACAAGCAGGATGCAAGCTTTTGTTCTATAACAAAAACCAAAGCAGTCATGTAAATAAACCCAAAGGTGCTTTACAAAGAGTAAACATTTTTTTTCCTATATGAAATAGAACTTGTGACCTTTTCTGTTCTTGTTTTACCTCCGCAATGTGATAATCTGAATCCCAAATTAGGAAGGAGAGATTGTTTAGGAAAGAGAAATCAATTACAATACTGGCAAATACAACATTTTTAGAAGTATTTATCTAGTAGGTATTTACCATTTGTGTCAGGGACTGAATCTCTCAGGATAGATGGCCTTAGACCCCTTCTTTCAGCATTCAGTATTTATCTTCAGCTAAGTCTATACTAGTTGCAGTTTCTCAGTTTGAGGTGAACCGAGCATGAGTCCCAGTAGTGTGCGGTGCTCCAGCACCTCACCAGCTGCACCTTGCTCCTTCTCCATACTTCAGATCTCTGTGCTCCCATTTCTGCAACCTATAGAACAAGATCTGCTGCCTCCGAGTGTCCCAGCTGCAAAGTGGTCTGGACTGATTCATGAATGGCTGAAAAACGCTTTGAGGTCCTGAATTGCAAAATCACTAGTGCCAATTTCTCTGTTCAGACAGCAGCAGTTATCGGGTGAATATTCCTACAATAATTGTTCCATTCTAGAGTAAAACTGCCCAAGCCCTAGCAGAGCATCATTCACACTGCCCAAACACCAGCAGAGCATCAATCATCAATACTTGCTATCCCCACCACCTGCTGCATGTCTCCTCCATGAAACACCTCCTGCCAAGGCTGTCCCCTGCCAGAGACCTCACCCTTCTGGCCAGAGGGTGCCAGAGGAGATCTCAAGAACGTGGGAAGAAAGCCCTGTGACCAGCTCTGTGGGAAATTCAATGCCAGAAAACAGCTTAAGCTCTTGGAAAGTTTGGGAAAGCAGGATGAGGGAAAGGCAGGAAGCTCCCGCGGGAGGGCCGGCCAGCACCCTGTCCCCAGCTCACACCATTGTGCTTTGTTCGGCCGCCACAATTGTGTGAGCAGAGCTGGGCGCATCAGCCTTCACTTCAAATTTCCTGCTTTTTGTCACTTCGCGTCCCAGGGCCTGCAGCTGAAAGCACAGCTCTCATTGCCGAGCTCCTGCTGAATGCCCTGCCCCGCCGGCCTGTGCCCAGGCCGCTCAGCAGGTTCCCAGCGCCAAGGCTCCCACTCTAAGGGGACAGGGGGGCTATTGAGACGCAAAGTGGCATGCCGAATCCTGCCTTGGCCCCAGGGGGCTGGTTAGGCACGACTATTGCAGGCAGAGATGCTGCTGTCTGAGGAGCTGCCCCATAATCTCCTCAGCCTGTGGCAGGCCAAGGGCCGGCTTGTAACGCGTTCAGCCAGGCTGATTTCTGGGCAGAGCTTGTCCTGACCATGGCACGGTGTCTCCTACCCAGACCCACAGAGGCTTTGGCTCTGTAGGACGGAGCCCCAGTTCCCCAAGTGCCTTCCTCCTCCTCCTGCTCTCTCATTAAGCAAATCCAGGACAGTGTCCGGGTCCTTCCTTGTTGGCTCCAGCACCTGATCAGGTGCCCAGGCCGAGGCTGGCACTGCTCTGTGCAGGCCCTGGGCTGCAGGACAGCCCCAGGGGGAGGGCTGGAAATCAGAGCAAGATGAGGTGATTTTGTCTGTCCCTACCAGTTCTGGACATGCACAGCACTCTCACAAATGCTAGCCCCAGCGCTCAGTGACCAAATGGGCCTCACACACCGATGGTGAGCCTCTCTGGTGCATCTGAAAGTCCCAGGCAAATGCCTTGGATGCCCTGAGGCACCTCCTATCCATGCTCTGGGAGCTACATCCCAGTACTGCAACGCTCCCTGTCTTCATCTCCTTTTTTCTGCAGTGTTGGATGTGTAGATGTGTTGCAGCACTTCACACATGTGCTGAAGGTCTGCCTTTCTGCCCAGCCTACAGTAGACTGTCCATTCAACCCCAGCTAAAAGGACTTGGGTTTGCAGACAGATCTCTTCTGCCCAATCCCAGGCACACCAGTTGATGTGACATTTGTCACAGGGGTTGAGGGGGTCCTACAATGCCAAACTTCTTTCTATCCCTCTTTCAGCACCATGAATAAATACGTTTCTGAACTCTGGTAACCAGCACAGCCCACAGGTTATGCCTCTTTAAAAATACATTTATATTTTTATTTATACAATATAGTCTCTATTCTGCTTGTATAGCTCTGGGGCATTTGCCTCGTTCCCAAGCACTTCAGCAGCAGAAGTCTGAGCCAGTATTTCAGTGCTGACTTCTCCATGCCTAACAATGCCGTCTGCTCATTTCCTCTCGAGACTAGACACATAATGTATGTCTAAAACCCTCAGCCTAGCCCAATTTACAAATTCTAGTACAGCTGTAGGTTTAAAGAGCCAGCCAAAATTAATTATGACAGATTAAGGAACAGAGCAACATACTGCAATAGCCTCTTCTTAAACTGAACCATCTGATCCAAACCCAGCAAGCTCAGCCTCCCAGTAAGCTCTTGCTGTTCTCTTGTTCTCCATCGCTGCTGCTCTCCTGCACAGCACCATCATCTGACCATGGTTTGTTCAGATGTACCTAGGCTGTTATTCAGTATCTTTGCCTTGCCTGAGATGGCCAAGAGAGGTCTGTGACAGCTAAGAGAAGTTCATTGTTAGCCGACCACCTGTAGGCTTTTTATTTTTTATTTTTATTTTTTGTGACATTGGGTCATTTGAACCACCAGACCTTCACAAAATGGCCCCCAAGCATACCCTTACAGGATCCTTCTCCCGACTGTCTCTGATCCCAGCAAAGTCCCTTTCCAGTGGACGTGCCATACAAAAAATAAACTACCCACCAGCAGGGTGGGTGCCTTCTGTGGTGGGAGTGCCATCAGCCAGTGTCTTGCAACCCAGGTCCCAGGTGCTGCACACGGAAGAACAGTACTCTTGGTTTGATAACAGCCCTGAATACAAAAGGGTGAGTTAGATGGCAAAAGGCTTCATATCCCTTCCCTATCATGCGCACCCTAGACTCGTTAGAGATGCAGTCCCTGCTGGAAAACACTCCTTGCTCTAACAGTTTAATTAACATAAAAAAACAAAGCATGCTCTCCTCCTTTTATCATTATGCATATTTAGTTGTTAATCTGTTCCTTTCCCCTCCTCCCCACGTTATTCTGCAGTAGCTGTTAGTTGCTAAAGAAGCTGAAGAAACAATTAAGATGCTTTCAGAAAAAGCAGATAATTTCTTGCATGCAGTGCTGAGTACCCAGCAGATGTGACTCAAGATGCACACATGCTGTTTTCAGGCAAGCATTCCCAAGGGGTTAGATAAAAATAATAAGGATGAGGGGTTTCAGCAGAAATCAGGTTATTTTTAAGTGGAAGCGCTCTGGGGGGTATTAGCAGAGCTCCCTGAAAATGCCATCATCTTCTTGTGTGTGGGATCCCATGGCATTACTTGTTTGTAATTAAAAAAAAAAAAAAAAGCCTGTAGTCAGACTAGACAGGGATTCAGGCAGGAATGCAACAATGGGTTTACAGCAAATTGTTTTGGTTGTAAGCATCAGACACCACGTGAAGGCGGAACAAATGAGAGAGATGCCTACAGGGAGATCTTCACCCCCCCCCCCAAAGATAATGGCAAGTCTCAAGAGCCAGAATTTGGCCCAGAAGGTTTCAGCCACCACAGTTCAGGCAATGAGGAAACTACAGCAGGAGAAACACTGTGATGGTCTGAAGCCAGGTCTTAGTTGACACAGGGTGTTGCAACTTTACCAGGAAAAACATTTCCTTCCAATATCCCCCTCGCTAATCCATCCCCAGCATCTGTCATCACAGAGAAAAGGGCAGAGGCAGGTGAGCCAGCACGATGCTAAGCAGCTTGCTGAGATAGCTGCAGACGTTTGCTGTATTTTGGCCGTGATGAAGACTGGACAAATGAGGAAAATGTTTTCATTAGCTGCACTCACCTGAAACATAATCAGCAGCCAACTCCCACTTTACAAGGTGACCTGGCAAAGAGGCAAGAAACGAAGTCCAGCAGCAAACAGATTGCAAAGACAAACACACACAATTAAGTTTGTGATGATCCACCATCTTGTATGGCTCCTCAATAGCCAGTGCTATGATTTTCTGTGCTCAGACACACAACTCTCAAGTATTTATACTCTGCCAATATTTTAAGTCATGCCCATAAAGCATATTTGAACAGGATTCAAGTTGATGAAAAGCAAGTCGTTACTTTCAAAGGAGGTTGGTGACCCCGTGAATGGAACTGATGGCTTCAGTCCAGCAGATGACAATCCATTAAATTAAAGAAAAAAATTGCCATTACAATTCTTGGTGCCAGTAAAGGTGTGAAAAAAGATGTGCTCCCTCCAGGATGCGCACAATCATATTTCTGGCAGCTTGAATTGCTGCAGATTTTTTTTTTTATTGCCTTTCCTCTTCACAAAGCATAAAGATATTTAGTCTCTGCTGTTTTCAGTGAAAAGTTTTAGATACACGAAGCTTATGAAGAGACACATCCCACTTGAGCCATATTAAAAACACCTCTTCCTTTCAAGTCATCAACTCTCAAGGAAGGGGAGAAGAAATGAAGAAACATTGAGCCAAAGCCCATAAACAGATTTTTTTTTTTTGTCTCTGCACGAGATGAGCCTGGGAAAAGCAAAACAATCCATCTACCCAAGAGTGGCTTTGCAGGGAAAGGTTAAGGAATATTAACGAGGGATTTAGATCGCACCACTTTACACACATTTATGAGGGAGAAATTCAACACCCAGAAAACAAATTCAGTTCAATTTTTGTTTTTCCCCCTCCCCCAAAGATGACATACCCTTCCATTTGTAAATTACTTTAATTTAAATACTTCCAGGTTAACAAAACATCTTAACTTTGACATGCCCCAAGTTACAAAACAGAAACAAAACCTCTTGACAAAGGGTAAGAAAAAAAAATATCCAAGCCCAAACCTCCTTTCCTAAGCTGGAGTTTATGGTCTGTGAGCTGGCTGCCCTCCAGAGTCTGACACAATGTCTGGAGCACCCAGAGCAGCTGGAATTCATTTTCTTCCTTCAAATCTATGCACTTTCATATGAAGTCGTGTTTTGGCACTGCCGCATAGGAGAGAGTTCAGTGCAAAAAATCTAACCCCAGCCATGTTTCTCTGCAACCCAATGCTTGCTGAGCAAACAACGAAAAAGGAGAAGAGGACAAGGGGAAAAAAAAAAAAAAGAGAAAAGCCCTTTCCCTTCCCCCACACATACACTCACGACTGTACCAAACAGGGGGCTATTCATGGCTGTTCATAAATGGGTCACAAGGAGAAATGTTTGCAGATAAAACCAACACTTTTTTTTCTTTTTTTTTCTTTTTTTCTTTTTTAAACAAACACCATGGAGGCCTCTGGAAGGAGCTGGGGATGTTCGAGCGTCGAGGTCCTGCTGCTCCCTTCCGCCTCCTGTTAGCGCAGCTCCTGCGGCGCCCCAGGCGCAGCCCCCTCCGGCCGATCACCCCGGGGTCCGGACCCCTCAAGCTGCCTCCTCCGAGCCAGAGCTGCCGCTGGGAGCCCAGCGGGGCCTCACGCTGCACCTCGCCGTGGGTCGGGGGGAGGAGGGAGACGTCCAAGGCGCTCCTGGGCGCTCCCGTCACAAAATGGCACACTGGAGTTTGTGGGAGCCTGTGGCTCGGTCCCCTCGCCATTTGGTCTTTTTCTTCTTCTTCTGGCTTTTCTCCGGGATTTGTTGCCTGTTTTGGGAGGGAGGGAGGAAAGAAAATAAGGTGAGACACAAGCAGCCAGCAGGCTGGCTCAGGTGTTGCCATCCAGAACCCTGGGCAGCCAGCAGAAAGGCACCTTAGGGTGCATATATACATAGCTGTGGTTCTTCACTGAGAGGGTTGTCACGCACTGGGACAGGCTCCCCAGGGACGTAGTCACAGCACCAAGCCTGTCGGAGTTCAAGAAGTGCTTGGACTGTGCACTTAGTCATAGGGTCTGAATTTTTGGGTAGACCTGTGTGGAGCCAGGGGTTGGACTTGATGATCCTTAGGGGTCCCTTCCAACTCAGGACATTCTATGACTCGCTATATTGGCATGTATACTCATCTCCATACACCCTTCCACCACCACCTGGTTTCTCAAACCACACAGGTAGCAGCAACCACCGCCCTTTGTGAGGAAAGAAGCCATAACCAAACATCAAGACTAATGGCAGGGACGTATGTCCTGAGAGGGGACTGCGAGTCCAGCTGTCCTGGGAGAACTGCTGCCTCTCCTCCCCTGCCAGAGTGCTGCTCAGTTCACCTGGGAGGTAGGGATGCTCACCTGGGAAACAGAGCTCATCCACTACACTGCTGCTAGTGCTCATTACGGTAAGGTGGCAAAATTGATACAGGGTGTACAAAGAAACAGACCTTCCTGGAAAGATTTGCTTTCACACAGAATTGCCCCCAGCCAACTGCACTGATGTTGACTTCATAATTTTTTTTTCCCCTTCTCCAAAAAATAGTGTATGCTGCCAAAAAGGTTTTGGCCTTCTCTTGGAAGTTGTGATGAGCACCAGCGCACCAGGAGCAGGATGCAAGCCCTAAGCCTTTGTCTGGGGCTGGCCCCAGGAAGATGCTCCTGGCTGCCTGAAATCAGCCATCAGCAACACACAGCTGCCAGCCCTCCTGCACTGTGCTGCAGCAGCCCCCATCAGTCAGGTGGGTTGTAAGCAACCTCTAAAATACTATTTCCATCTCATCTGATGTTCTGCTGATGGCTTCTCCCTTTTCATTAAAGATGAGATATTGCTCAGTCATGTTGTTTAAAAGAGGCTTGATGGTTAAATGATGACTCAGATCCTCACCTGGTGCTATACAGACACTTCTGCGCCATCAGCTATACCCAGTCTTGTCACGCTGCAATAGTGACAAAAAGTGCACTGGCTTCAGGGGAGCTGTACCTGTTCGCACCAGCCACTCAAGTCAGCCCAGCATTGCAAATTCAACAGAAGAAGGCTTTGTAGTTCAAACACCTGACAGGCAGGCTGTAGACTTGGATTTCATAGCAAGATAAACCATATGAACATAGGCAGCTTCCACAGACTCTGAGTCTAAATAATAAACCTAAGAGCTTGAATAGCTCAACACCAGCCTCTTTTGCTGTGTAATATGTCAGGCACTAAGCTGAGTGTTTAGACCACATTATCTGGAGCAGAATGAGACAAAGTTTGAAGACAAATCATTGTTGCTTTATTTGATGTTTTTCTTACAGCTTCAACTCTCAAATGTTTGCAACAATCTGAAAAAAATCAACTCAACTTTGACTAGCAAGACTTGTTTTCAGCAAGTATGAAGGCTGCTGGCACGAAAAACATGAAACTTAAAAGCTCAGAGTAAGAAAGCAGAAATAAGAAAATACTTCAATTTGAATAAACACTGAGCAGCCACAAGCATTCTTGAATGGTTTTAGAGATCCAGAAAACCACGTACTGCACCCATTCAAGATTTCTGCTGTGATGGTGCTTGTGTATACTCTGCTGCAGCATGAAAAGTTTATTAGGAATTTTTAAAGATCTGTTGGGCAAGCTCTGTCACCCAATCCTTTCTGGATTACTTTCAGACAATAGTTTCTTGGAAAAAAAAAAAACAAACCAAAAAAAAAAAAAACACTACATAAAGTGTGTATCAGCCAAGTGCAAGGCACACAAAGTGTGCTAACCCTGAATGAGTCCTCACCCTGCAAACTAACATGGGCTCTCATGAGCTTGTGAATTCATGAAGCACTCCAGGAATAGCATATTTATCAGGGAGTTGTACATTTACATTTTATTTGGTAAAGCTCACTTAGGAAAAAAAAAGCGGTGCTTGGTGGGCGATACCATCTTATGGCTGCAGACAGTTTGCAATGTCCAAAGACCAGGAAAAGCTGCATTGTGGCAAATAACCAGATCACACGATGTCTCTCTGCTCTCCATCTTAGAACCATAGAATCAAGGAATAGCTTGAGCTGGAAGGGACCCACAAGGATCATTGAGTCCAACTCCTGGCTCTGCACAGCACCACCCAAAAATCAAACCATATTTCTGAGAGCATTGTCCAAACACTTCTGGAACTCCAGTAGGGTTGGTGTCATGAACGTAGCCCTGTGGGGCCTGTGCCCGACCACCCTCTGGGTGCAGAACCTTTCCCTAACCCCCAGCCTGCCCCTCCCCTGTCCCAGCTCCATGCTGTTCCCTCGGGTCCTGTCGCTGTCCCCAGAGAGCAGAGCTCAGTGCCTGCCCCTCCACTCCCCTCCTGAGGGAGCTGCAGGCCGCCATGAGGCCTGCTCTGCTCTGAACACACCAAGGGGCCTCAGCTGCTCCTTGTAAGTCTCAACCACAGTTCAAGCTCTTGTGAACATACATGTTCAGAAGGGGTCTCATACGGCTGGCAACAACTCTTTGTAACTACTTGGGAACTGAGGAACAGATCACCTATTTGCGATGTTATGGAGTGCATTTTCAGGGCTAAAAATTAGTGCTGGATCGTTAAAATTCTCCATCCAGCTTGTGCCTGTCTGAAGCCACATTATATAGAGAAAGCAAACAGCCTTACCATCTTATTTTTGCTGTGTTTCTTTCTTTCCTTTTTTTTTTTTTTTTTTTTTCTTTTCAGAATAGAATAGATTGTGGTAAGAGCTCACTGTAACAAAAAGGAGTATCTGGCCAACTAATGCTGAGTTCCAGAACAGTTGGGAAACAGCTTGGGACATTTCCAACTCAGCTCTGCAGCTCTCCAAAGATTTTCTGCCCCCTGCTTTTCAGATATGTGGGAAGAGTGGGCAGTACCATCTGCTTTTGATGGAGGCTGACTCGAGGCTGTGCTAAGATGTTCACAAGTACAGAGACGTTGTGAATAAATGCCTCATGGTTTAATTGCCGAACAAGGCACTTTGACTGCATGGCAGGGAGGAGCATTATCTCAGCTCAGCACCCTCCCAAAACATGAGAAACGAAGGCCCCAAAAAATCTGGCAGACAACCCATGTCAGAAAAAAACAAATCTTCTCAGAGATGTGAGGTTATCAGCTGAGATGCTGAGATGTGCATGCAGCTCTTTTCCTGCGGGGCAGCCAGGATTTTGGATGGCAGCACCTTGCCGACAGCAGCAGGAACCGGGTTCGCCCGGAGAGCAGGCATTCGCCAAAGCGAACAAAAGCAGCTCGTGCCAAAATTGGGAATAAACCTCTGCTGTCTGAGGAGGAAACCTGTGGCTTCGCCATTAGGTCATGCTGTTTCTCATATAAAATGGCTTAATTTTTTCCATTTAATGAGCAAAAAGTTACCTACAAAATTAGAGCCAGTCCCTTTAACTTAGAGCAACATGAGACCCTGAGATGACAATGCTATGAAAACCCACATTACTAGCCCAAAGCTTTTAATGCTGGCCTTTTAAAGCCGATTATTACAGCAAGTTTTGCTGAGTGACTAACATATTTTTGTCATGGCCACAACTAGTTGTCAAACTGCCTAATACTGATATTTTGCAAAGGCAAACTACTGGTTAGTAACATCTATATGCACATACAAAACAAGGAAGCTTAATAAAACCCAGAAATCCCCCACCTCCAACCAAACCACCACACTCTAGCCCCCAAAAGTCATCTCCTGGCTTCCAAGACCAGGACTCCTGCGTGTCCCATCTACAGGCACTAACTAAGCCAAGTGTTTGCAGCTTACCTTATTACCCTAACGAGATCGTGGAAGGCCTTGTCAACATTTAGAGGTGGGTCCTTGGCACTAGTTTCTATATACGGAATCTGAAGGAGAGAAGTACATGACAAAAGATATTTGTAACAGCTAATATGTTGGGAGCAAACTAGTTTCAAAATGAAAAACCCTACAGGCTAGAGAAATTGGGTGCCTAAGAGACTGGAGAAATACCAGTAAACAAACTGCTGTCATGACACTGCTATCAACACATTCATGCTCACAGAAAGCTCAGATCTGGGGAAGAGTAATCATAGACTTCATGTAGTCAGATGTTCTCTCCCCCTAAGTTGTGCTTGCAGACATGAAAATAGACAAGGGTTGTTGAAAGATGAGCACTTGCCAGGAAGTCTTGGTTGCCACGTTTTATTAGGACTACTGCATGAATATTTCATGACTACAATTCCCCTTCAGTTTAAAATGATCTTCAAAGTCTGACAGACAGATGGGGCCTCCTAGAGCGCTTGTCCAGCACTCTGGCAGATTTATAAAATTGCCTTCTGATAAAGTTTTTGCATACACATCCTTTTCCAAAGCGTGTACCTACAGATGAGTACATTGTGTTGTGTCGTAAGGCCAAGGTGTACTTGTTCCTATAAAAGTGAGCTTCCCTGGGGAGGGGGCATGGGATGGACCTGCCCTGACAAACTCCCATTGTGCCTTGTTTAGAAACACAGCACAGTTTGCCATCTAGGCACAGCAAGCTGCCAAAAGGTCTCAGGCTTGTTTGCCTCTACCTTTCCATTAAGTTCCTCCTATGGGAGTTGCTGCTTCCCCCGGGTATGTTCTGGCATTAGAGGTGATTAGTGGAGTACCACGTGATCTACACCAATCCAAGACCAATTTCTCAGGCTAAACTACAGTATGAATAATGCAGATCTAAGATGGTAGGCCAGATTTATATAGGCTTTACAGCCCTGTAACTTCATTATCTTTAACAAGCCTACTTCTTATGGACACCTGGGTATAATTCCTAATTCCTGACTGCTTTTCCACCCCAAGAGGATGCGCTTTCTTCCCTCATTTTGAACATTCATGTTTCTCATCACTTGCAGACAGCTTGTGCACATGGTTTCATGATGGCCCCAGATCTGCTATAGCCTGGTGTGCTGCAGAGCTTCTAGCTTCCATGATGAACTGACTCCACCCAAAGGGAACTCTATAGCTACTGCTTTGTGGTAGTCGGAAGTGCAATTGTAAATGTTCGATTGTAAGAAAAATACTTTAATTCAGCTCCAAATGAGCAGAGAATTCCATTTTGAATGCCTGTAATGGGACTTACAATGAGCAATTACACAATCCTGCAAACTTACATTATGTTTTGTTGCCATTTCTCTTCCCTGTTCTCTTGTAATTTTCCGTAAATGCATTAGATCAACTTTGTTCGCCACCAAAATCATTGGAAAGGACTCTCTGGGGAAAAACAAACAAACAACAAGAACAATTAATAGCAGACTACAATACAAAACACTGAATATGAGATTCTCTTTCTAATACTGATATCATCGAGCATTTTTGGCTACGACATACCACATAACATATAAAGAAAGATCTTCAAGGCATCAGCCACCAGACTGAGCTACGCATACTATGCACGTTTGTATCATAAAAATTTATCTTGACATTTTGCACACATCCACCCTTATTTGCAGGCACTTCAGGGACTTAAGTGCCATCATTTCTGCAATACTTGATAATAGACTGAAAATCCAACTAGCTAAAGAACTACAAAATTAGTCTGCTGCTATAGAAGGAAATTAACTAAGGCATGGAAGCAGATCTTGAACACGAAAATAGGACTCTTTTATAACAGTTAAGGCATCTCATAACTGCGTATCTTAGCAGCTACTAGTCATTGCCAGGTAAAGAGGTTGGAGGAACTAGTTCATGCCCTGGTAGTGGACAGAACAATGCTCATTCACTGAAAGCACCTATGAAGAAGAAAAGACAGACTTGTGAAGGTGGCACTTAGGGACACATCATATTGGGAAGAAAATGACTGAGGCCAAATGACTCTTGTTACCCCAACACCAACTGAAAGACTGGCAGGGGTAGCTGGGAGGAGGCTGGAGTGAAACAAAGAGCTTCGCTGTGTTTCCAGATGCTGTTACCTACCATCTCCTGCTTCTAATCCCAGAGCAAAAGCCTGGTGAACAACCGCCCTTTTGTACCAAGGACATCTCACTCTGCAATACTGCTTGTTATTTCTTGAACTTTGCCAGGTGCGTAAGTGACTGTCTTCAGACATCACAAGTGAAGAGACCCATTCATCCACAGCATGCCCCGCGTGAGGGCTTCCTGACGAGGCGTGTGGGTCATCCTCTACCCTGGCAGAGTCCTCGTAGCTCTGGTGACTGAACTGAGCCAGTTCATGCTTTGAGAGGTGCTGGCAGTGCAGTTCCATCCCACTCCACCTTCCACACAAGAGCCTCTCCCCCAGCTGCATTACAGAGAGCAAAGCTGTGCTGCGTGGCTTCTACCCACTGCTAGGAAGGAGGAGGTAACTTCTGATCACTGATGTTTATTGCAGCATTATTTAGCTTTAAACACTCTTAAAATAGTTCCAATGTTCTCTGCTGTAACAGAGCTGATTTTACTGGGGTAAGGAGCAGCTGGCCGCACTCACTGCTGCATAAAAGACTTTCCTGGATTTTCAAACAGAGTTTCTGTGTCATTTTTCATCGAGACGATAAGGGCTCCATCTTCTCCCTGGCACACTGCCCCGTTGCTCTGGCTGGAAATACACTGTACTGCACTCTGCATTTTAAATGGTTCTTACCGTTACTCATTCTGATAATGTGGATTTGATTTAACATTAATACCTGAGCACTGATACATCTTCACTCTGATTATTCTGGAGCAAAATGCTTGCTCGTCTGAATTATTTGATTCCTTTTAGCTTGTGGCACATTGATAAGAGAGGGATTACGTTTGGACAGCATCTCATTTGCCTTGTTTACATCAGGCATAAAACTCTGTGGGGACTTTGTTCCCTGTTGTGAGCTGGACGATTACTAGTTTGACAAAGCTACTATAGTTGGAAGTTTTACTGTAATTAAGGTTATGGAAAGAAAGGGGACAGAGGCTTTGAACAGCTCTGCTAAAGCAGCAGCCTGCAATTCCTTTGGATTTTGAACCCTCAAAACTGGCTGCTGGTTTGAAAATTGGGTGATGTCCTGCTCCTAGCTAAGCACAGGCCTGGCAGGACTGTTTCTTTTTTTGTGCTGTTTAGCAAATCACAGCAATATGAACAATCTCAGGCTCTGGATGAAGTGTTACTCCTGGTGTTATGCACTCCAGCGCGGGGAAACAAAAGCAGTTTCACTTCCTGGTTCTCACACGCCGCCGCTGTGTTCGTACGGCACAAGAAGGGGTAGAAGTTTCAGTCCAGAGCAAAACAATGAACGCCACATCTTATTTTCATGAAGCTAAATTAAATAAAAACAACGTCTGTTTGTAGCAGGTTAGAGGAAACACTGTCCTGTCTTCCTCAGCTCTCCGAAACAGGCTGAATTTGCCCTAAGCTAAGTTGGCAGTGAAGGAAACGCCATTGTTATCCGAGAGGCAGGCTGAGTGACTGACGTTTTTGTTCATTTAGATGAAATCAAAGGGTGGATTTTCCTTTACTTTTCACTCTCGTGGGCTCTGCTTTGGATGCTTTACTGGAAGAGCTGTCAGCTGTGAACCTCACATGATACGTGTCCACCCTTCCTGTGGGGAAGTTATTCAGAACTGCAAAAGGAAGCCAGCAACGAGGCCTGAACCCTCTGGTGGCTTTTCTTGATGACTTCCATAATTAAAAGCCATTATGAGTGGAAAAAACTAAGTGTTTCAAAGCTGCAGACATATAAGAGCTTAATTCACACTCCACCCAGTGCGAAAGGACTCATCATCTCTCGAAGCAGGATGGGAAGAGGGAGTTATCTGCAAGATAAAGCCCTGGCAGCTTCCTTTAAGTCTGCCAGGATGCAATCGCTCACCACGATTAAGCCCGCAGCGCTACCTTCTCCCACGCGCGCATAAGGAGAGGAGCAGGCAACCTGTCTTGCTTTTACCCACTCACACAGAGATGTTTTATTCATCGCTGCATAGTAAGATGAGTTAACTGCATTAAAGCCTTTTTAAGGAATAGAGTTCTTCCCAACCTGAGGTGTTTTCCTCTTCAAGGCACTTGCTTCCAGGCCCTTATCATGTAGGACCTCTTAGGGTTTGTTAGCTCCATTCCGGCTGGAGCTTCTCCCTTCCAAAACCATTTTCACTTCGTCATAGGACTCACTGAGCTTTTCCACATTGAAAACACCAACTACGTGCTTATCAGAAGAGGTAAATTATTTCTCATTCCCCTCATGCAGATCTACAAACCTACACGGAGCACACAAGGAATGACTCTGGGACATGCAGGAGGTCACAAGTGGGGAGGACATGCAGCCACCCCTGGCACAGCCTGCAGCGGGGTTGGGGAGCGCCAGCACCCACCTGTCTTTGACTCTGAGGATCAGCTGGTGGAAGCGGTCCACGTGCTCGAAGCTGGCCTTGTCTGTCACAGAGTAGACTATAAGGAAGCCATCTCCAGTCCTCATGTACTGCTCCCGCATCGCACTGAACTCCTCTTGGCCTGCGGTATCCAGAACTAGGACAAAAGAGATGAAGGTTTTTAGTTACTGTGTGAAACTGCAGCTATCGCTGCTGTGTGCCCAGCCCTTCCACCTCTGCTGGGCTTGGTCCTCTCAAAGGCTGTGAGATTTCATGAAAGCAAGTTGGAGGGACAAGGGGATGGAGAAGACTATAGGGATCTTATTTTCCTTCAAAATATCAAATGTTATTGAACCTAGGGAGATTCTCCTCTGCCAAGACATGGCTCAACACATTTTGAAGAGCTCCATCTCCTCCTCCTCTTCCAGATCTCTCAGATCCCTGCATGGAAAAATCCAAGACTGGAAGAGCAAGTAAATGGCAATTTAAATGTCAGGGACAATTTGCAGACTGGTGCAGCAGAGCTAGGAGATAACCCAGAGTGATAGCTGTGAGTATCTTCCCTCTCTCAGTGCCTGGATATTATTTGTACACAATTATGCGCTTTCACAGCAAGATGGTACAGCCTTGAATTCCCCTACAGACATCGTCGCAAGTCATGTTTTGATATTCAGAAGAGTTATAACAGGCAGAAAAGCTTTAAGTGACTTGTGTATCATACTCAGCAGTCATGTTGCTGTGTGTGGGCTTGCATTCCTGGGCAGCCAATAACAATGCTTAGATCCATGCTCAAATCCCCTAAAACATCTCTGGCTGTGGCAGCAACCCAGCTGCTGCTCCCCAAGAGTAATCTCCTCTCCCGTGCGGCCAGAACCTACTGGCTCTCTGGCACTTCACCTCCCAGGCTGTCCCATCAGCTACTTCTTGAACCACATCTAGAAGCCCTACACCTGCCTTCTGGGTAAACACCCCACAGTGATGCACATTAGCACTGCCAGTTCTCAGGCTCCAGCTCAGTACGCTGCCACGATTTTGGCCGGCAGGAGGAAGGTATGAAAGGGGTTCAGCAGTTTAGGCTACCAACACAAACTAGGGGTGAGTTCAAAATGCATTGGCTGCTCTGAAGTCATTGTCCATGTGCATCGCTGTACCTTAGAGGCAAACGCAAGACCTTTGTGAAGATTAGGAATGTTTTCACATCCCAGCCAACTGTGCAGGGTGGGAAAACTGTTTCCACCTCCGCTGTACAGCCACAGTGTTAGCATCTGCTGCCCACAAGTGACAGGGAAAGCCCTGGGCACTGCTGGATGGAGACATATTGCTGACAGAGCAGCAGGGCTTGATACGGGTTTTTCTAGTCCAAGCAGGCCCACGGTCCTAGTGAGATGCTCCCTGCAGGGTAAGTACTCCAGCTGTCCTGATTTCCAGATGAAGCTAGGATAAAGCCCACTTCACTGCCAGCATTACTTGCTGAATCAGCAGGGCTGGCCACACAGGGACACGCTCAACACGCTGCACATCACAGCATGCCCCAAGACCTGCCTGCACCTTTCTTCTGTGGCTGGAGGAAATGCAGCTGTGCTGGAGGAGATATTTGTTGATAGTAGACCCTTTAAAGATCCTCAGCCGTATTCATTTGCCTCCCCTCCCTGGCCTTGACTGGCTGTTTCCAGAAACCTGTATGATGAAAAGAGCTTCTAGGCTTTCGCAGAGACTCTGAGATTTAGGCTTGCTTGCTGAGAAGCTGGAACTTGCTAGAAAGTCACGGGTGTCCTTTCATAGCCTTTTATCCCACCTCCCTCCCCTGAGTCTAGGAAACAAGGATCTCAGCTTAAAGGCGGCCAGGCTACTTACTTGTAAGGACCATACAAAAAAAGGAAAAACAAGAAAGAAGGAAAATAAAGATAAAAGAAAAAAAGAAAAACAACCCAATGACACTGCATGCACTGGTGAATTTCTATGCCCTGGGCAGAAGAGCTTCCATGGAATAAGGCCAGGACTGTGTGGCTGGGACGGAAAAGGAAATTAATCCTTCCTATCCACCCGACCTGTAAGGAGAGGTTGGGCTGCCCTCAGCTGACTTCTGCACCAGCTGGAAGCGATGTCAGGGCAAGGCTGAGAGCTGACAGCCCGTGTACGTATGCACAAACACACACACACACACACTCCCTTCTCCTCTCGCACACCCAACCTGTGGGGTGCAGCGGGCTGGGCTCTCCTGCCCATCCTCCCCCTGGCACAGGGCAGGTGCCCAAGCAGAAGCCGAGGGCAAGAAGGTGGAGAGGGATGTGCCGCATCCTGCATGGCAATTTGCTTAGATACTTCCCCTCGCCCCGACACATTTGCAAACCTCCTGCGAGGAGCATCCAGCCCCCCTCTTGCTGTTGTACCCACTGATCCATGCCCAGCTGCTGGCCCCTCCAAAGCCCTGCTGTCCCCCAGGAGAGGGCAGGGATGGAGCCTTGGTGGCTGTGGGGATCCCCAGTGAGCAGCCAGGGGTTAGGCTCCTGCCACTCCTACCTCTCCTGGATCTTGGCCATGGCATCACACTAAACATAGGCAGGGCTGCTGTGTCAGCAGCTACTATTTACAGGGAATTCACTTGCAGCATTCATAGAAAGAAGAGCAAGTCCAGGCAGCATTTAAAATGGCACTTCGGAAATCCATGCAAGAAGACACAGTGGTGAAAATTACGTCCAATAGGGTTATTCATACAAAGTCAAGGGTCACGTGGTTGGCCAGAAGTCCTTGTTTTAACTTGAAATGTGCTCTTCTTAGAGACAGCCACCCTATCCTAATGGGTCTATGCTGCACAAATTGTGAAAAAACAGAGTGAAAGTCTGATTGGCATCCTTTTGTAGGGAGAACTGGGACACATCCTGGAAAGCACCAGCTCCAAGTAAGGGCCAGATGCAAGCAGCTTTGCCTCTAGTGCAATGTCTTGGCACAAAAGCTTCAGCAGGACTGCTGCATACAGAAATCTGCATAAAGAAATGAGGAAACAAGCAGGAGTCTTGGAAAGGTGAAACTGGGGAGGTGATTTGCTTCCCAGCTGAGTGAGGAACATTCACATCCTTATAATCCCAGTTTCTGCAAACAGGATGCCCAAAAGACTCAGAAATAATCGTGAACAGAGGAGAACTGTGAGCTCTCTTCCCCTGGTACTCTTTAAAATCAGCAGTTGCCTCTTACTGGCAGTTGCCACCCTGGCAGCACATAAAAGCCCATGTGGAAATAAGGCTGGAAGAAAGCTCAGCGGGTTTCCCCTACCTCATTCTTCCAAGAACTGAAGTCAAATTCATAGATTGCTGTCGGAAGTCCCTCTCCCGGTGCTGCACAAACTTGGTGTAGTTCCCACAAACTTGACCAAAGAGGAAGCAAGGAGGAGCACTAACGAAAGCCTCGGGGTGAGCAGTGAGAAGCCAACGACTGTGTCGGAAGTAGGAAGGGACATCCAAAGGCGGCTGTGCAAAAGGCATTTCACAGACCTACCATGCAAATCAGCTGGAGAATAAACTAAGAGCAATGAGGCTGTGAGAGCCCAGCATGAGGTCTCCTTGCTTTGAGGATGAGAGGTTGCTAAGCAAAGAGGTGGCCTTTTCTGCCTTCCAGTAGATGTGACCACAACTGTTAGGATGAGCTCTGTGTTAACGGGGTCCTTAGAGCTTTACACACCACTTTCCTGTGAGTCCTGATGGATTAGGCAAGAGGGTAGCTGCTCAGAGAAAGCACTTCTGAGCAGACTTGGGAGCCTGGGAGGCTCTATGGCCCAAAATAAAAGCATTCAGTGCGTCCAGGTGCCTTCTGTGTGGCAGGACCTCTATAACCAGGTATGCTCCAAGTGCCCATCCAGAGACACAGGCATGTACACCTAAGCCAAGGGCAGAGACATACGGACTATGTGAAATCCAAGATATGGCACTGCTTTTTCTAGAGCCCCAAGATATGGCACTGCTTTTTCTAGAGCCTAGGCTGGATTCACTGCAGACTCAAAAACAGCATTCCCAGCCTTGAGGGAGCTCAGACCTGGTTGTGTGAGAGAGCTCTTCTTTTTCCATGCCTAGGCAGATCTGCCTCCTATGCCTTTACCTGCATATTACCAGGCAGTTAGGTAGACAGATCAACACAAGAATTTCTCCACTCTCTGTGGCACCTCAGGGACCAGAAGATGACCAGACAAGCAGCTTAAAGCCATTTTCTGTCCTTCATACCAAATCAGACACCAATGGCATTTGCACATTGCAGCAGCCGGTCCTGAGAGCAGCTCTCACAGCACCCTGCCTTCCAGAAGAAGGCACCACAAAGCTCATCTCTGTTTGTGCTCACGTTCATTTCTTGCTCAGAAAGGCAAGCACAATGTGTATGACCTGATTTTTGCAAGCAGTGCAGTGACATCCCTTTGGCTACCTACATGCAGCACGTGTGCAAGCCCTGAAGAGGCTGAACGGGTCTGCAGGCAGACGGGAACCTGGGATCACAGCGCCAGGGAGAGAAGCAGCAACAAGAAGACTGACTCCAGGCACTTTGTGCCTCTTCAACTTCTTAATGCAAAATACAGAAAGTCCCTGGAGCAGAGAGCAGAGCTAGGAATGTGGCACTGTCAGGGGAGCGCTGTCATCACTGGGCTACGGAGCCAGACTCCTCTTGGCACTTCGGAGTCTTGCTTTTTTCTCTGCACAGCAGCTCTGCTTCAAAGGTGGGGCCAGAGAGCCTCCATTCCCAGCTACCCCACGGCTTCATAGTTAAGGTCAAGGGAAAGCCTAACTTGAATTGACAAGGCAAACGAAAGAGTCTCAGGCTGAGGAAAACCACGTCCAGTCTTCATCCTCCCTCCATCAGCAGGAAATGGGCAGCCCCCATGACCCCATTTACTTCAGCTGAGGAACTGGTATTTTGGGTGTTGAGCAGATGGAGCACAGGGACCAGCTTGCATTTTGTATTCCTACACCCCAAATCACCCTGCAGAGATATGGAAGGTGCCCACGCTGTGAGCAAGAAGAGGCAAGTGCTTTGCTTGGTCACTCTGTCACTGGCCTGCCCAGATATGGCCACGCTGCCCCTGGCATGAAAGCTTTTCACAGGGAAAAACACGTGATGGGAAAACAATGGGGCTTTACAAGCCCTTCTGTGCCCTAACTAAATACACAGATGTTATAACACGGAAAACCCGAGTACTTGAATTCTTGCCCTTTCTTTAAGGAAAAAGAAGAGCCTTCAGACGACAGGCTTCCACATCAATACACAAAATAAAGATGTGAACTCTTAAAGGAGCTCATTTTCTAACAAAGGGCAATTATTCAAAGCTTTCTGTTTTCTGTGTTGCAACATCAAAATTTTCCTGGCAGGAAAAAAATCCCCACAACCCAAGACAAAAAAAAAAAACAACAAAAAAACACTTTCAAGGTTGCAAAATCCAAGCTATTAAGGGAGGGAAAATACTGTACACACGAAGAATTAAAAAGAATGAAAGTATAAACGATTTATTTCAATGACACTACCCAAAGTTAAAAAAAAAAAAAAAAAAAAAAACAAGAAAGAAGAGCTGCAAAGCAACCATTCTGCCTGCAAGTCTCAAGTGACCTTTGATCTCCCTTTGGTCTCCTGGCTGAATTGTTCCCAAGCTTCCTGAAGAGAAAAGCAGACGGCCTGTCTTGAGATGAGTAGCAGCAAAAACCCTCTGCAGAAAGAAATGCATGGGAGACGTGGCTCTTGCCACTCTGGGCAGGGAGTGAGAGCCCGGCAGGAGCCCACTTGCTGCTATTCCACAGTGATGCATCAGGACTGGGCAAGTCCAGCCTGATTCAAGAGCATCCAGGGGTTGAGATGGAGAACTGTGGGAAGGAGGAGAAATAAAACCGAGAAGTAAGAAGTAAAACAAACACTCAGCAGTAGGAATACAACTTACGGGCAGTGGGAGTTTTGTCTCAGTGATGCTGGTGGAAGGACAGAAGAGACCACAACCTCATTTTGCCCAGTACATGGGCACAATTCCTTCCTTCACTGGTATCAACGGGCTACTGACAGCTAAGGGGTTAGCCCAATTCATCACCATGCCTGAGCCATCTGTTTGTGGTCATCTCTTCACCACCATTTTTTAAATCCGTGTTTGGTTTATGAGCTATAAGGAATTTTGAACCAATGGGAAGTTTTGCCATACTGAGACACCACTTTTGGTTTCACACCCAGATTAATAATTCCAGACTGGCACTTTACAGCCACGTCAAAAAAGAATCCTCTGCTAATTGCCACGTTAGCCTGCATGCAGAAAGCAGCATGCAAAATTAATGATAGCAACTCGATTGGAGCAACAGTTAATCAAAGCATATTAACCCTGGTCCCCACTTAATTTTGACCTGATGTGCCTACACAGCACCTGCGTGTGAATGCATTTAACCAAGCACATCACCGTGCTGATTTCAGTATGAACAGCAGGGAGTAAATGAAGATAACACATGCAGAGAAAATTGGAGGCTGATCTGAAAGCCTCATTGGGGAGGCAGCAACCTAAAAACAGGGGCTAGCCACAAATTGTGCATCCCTTATCCAAGTTAACTGCACTCTTCTACTCTATGACACTTGTCCTCCAAACACTGGATCTCAGAAAACTGGCATAAGGCCACCAATAAAGTATTCTGACACTCAGCACCCAGGGTACTGTTGGACTTGAACACATCAAGTATATATCTCACAATCATTGACTCTTCTTTAATAAGAACATAGATACAGAGACCTGCCCATGGCAGAGAGCAAATACATAAAAGAAGAGCTTGGACTCAGGTTTGTCTCCAATGTCTAAGATCTGAAATAAAAGCAATTACATCTACTTTCAGTGAGAGTTTTCAGCAAAGGAAAACAAAAAAAACAGTCAAGCACTACATCACACTGCCAGTTAGTGCTATCAAATAAATGTGGGTGGAGGTCTTCATGGAGGGAAGCCAAATGCTTTATGCAAGCTGGCTAGCACAAGTATTTTTTTTTTTCTAAACATAATGCTGGTGCAGATATTACATGCTAGAGATGCTTTGTACAGAACTGCTCAGGCAACAGCCTGGAAGAGGGTGGGCTATATTTTTATTAAGTTGTTGGGTGCCAACATATATTTTATTTTTAAACAATTTCTGCGCACTTAAACTTACGAAGCCCCTCACACAGTTGGTAGTCTCAACTTCTAGAACTAGTTCTTATTTTGGAGGTAGGCAGGGTGAGGCAAACAGGCTTTTGTTTATTCCCTTCCTCCCCCTACCAACAAGCACTGAGAAAAAAAAAAAAAGCTGCCCCACACATCAGCTTGTAAAGAATTTAGCCATAAAAGACAACTAGAAGTCCAGAATTTATCATGATGCATCTTTACCCTTCCTATCACGACTGTCCCTAATTTCATGCCTTAAGTGATTCATGCAACCATGCGTTACCACAAGAACAGCTGTTCAAGTATATGGCAATCTCTGAGAATGTCCTAGATCCAAAAAGCCCATGACACAAAGCTGTGGCATAAGACATGTGACAGTCTTTATGCCCCATTTCTACTGTGAAGATGGTAAAGGCTTACGTGTGTCCATACAAGAATATTGCTGTTCTTCTAAAATTCTGATTGTTCAAAACATTTCAAGAGGCAGGAAAGAGAGAGAAGCTGCAGCTTCACCTCTGTGAGTGCAAGAACTCTGAAATTCAGGGATTCCCTGCATGCCATCAAAAGGCACAGATGAATTTGGTTGAGCCCAAGTACAGCCACTGAACCTCATTTGAGCAAATATAAAAAGGCTTTTACATGAAAACGTATGGTTAAGTTCCTACTTGTTGGAAAACCACCTCCTTCCTCAGGTCAGATTTTGATTTTCCTTCTGAATAAACAACGATATCAAGTGTTTAGTGAAGGATGCTTTGTCTTCTAAATAATTTACAAAAAAAACAGACTGTTTCAGACATCAATGTGCACAACAGCTGATACTATTATATCAGACCATGGCAAATACCAGCAAAGATAAAGGCTGCTCATTTTAGAGGGTTGGACTATGGACTAACAAGCAATACATGGGAGAGAATGAATTTCATTTACAACAGAATCTTTAACTTTTTTAATGTAACACTGGTATTTAAAACACAAATTTACACAGGTACATTATGGGACAGATAACTGAAAGCAAGGATCTCAAGTATCTCTGATATAAGTGACACCATGACAAAAGTTGGCAAGATTAAAGTATGTTTAGAAATACTGAGGTAAAGCTTTTTAAGACCTTGGGGGCCATCTGTACTTACTAAATTGCATCTGATATTTCCTTAAAACTAAGACCTCAGTCAGACCAAACTTACGGCCTTCATGGTAAAGCCTGAAACCCTCCATGTTCCATCACTGACGCCAACTTCCAGTTTTTGACCCTGCACACCAATTTTGTGAATGCTAAGACACCAAAGATCTTGAATGCTTTCACAACAAGAGGCCAGAGGTAGAAGCTTACTGCAAGTCAGACTGAATTTGGTTCAGTTCTGTCAGTGGCCATATACATGCGCTTAGGAAACTAATGTACAAAATATTTGTTTGCTTTATGTACAACCTAATCATCATATAAAGCCAAACAAAACTTGTAGCATTAAGATTGCCTTTAGAGCTCTGGTCAGTCTGTCTCTTGCATGACAGACTGAAGAGTTGCAGTTTTAGGTAATAGAAGGCTTCTTTCTCACATGCAAAAATCAAGTGTTTTGTTTTTTCTTTCTTGTCCCCCTCCCTCTTTTCTTCAGAGAACTAAAAAAATCTTGGTTACATCAGCTCTCCTATCTTCTACCCAACATGTATTTAAATAAAACAGGTAACTAGATATGAGAACGTCATGCCTGAATGATGGGAATTGAGAGGTGCTACAATTCTTCACTGTCAACAGATGACAGTTTTGATTAAGTGATCCTTCTGGTTATAACCCTCATTCAGATACCCTCTTACTGGTATTTCCCAGGGGATGAGCCTAACCACAACGAAACATCAATATCCCTGTGGTATAATTCTGCCACCAGGGATGCCTACCCCAAATGCCATTTGCAGCATGGTGTAACCATGCCCAGACACCTTAGAACTCCATGTTGTGGAGTTCACAGTCAGCAGAGCTGTGGGGAGCTTGTCTTTGAGTGGCATAGCCAGCTACAGCACATCTTCATGCAAACAGCGTAGACACTATGTTAACAGGAAAGGGGGGAGTTTCTCAGCAGACAGGTGCAGCAGTTCATCATTACTCAAGAGGAAACAGATTTAACTAGAAGTGATATGCTACTTTTCTTCTTCCTAGTGCTGTTGAAGCATAGCATCCTCCTTAAAGACTGTGTAGGCCAACTATGCTAGGAGGTTGCCACAGTGGCTCACAGACTGTCCATGCAACCCTATTAAACACTCCTTGCTAAATGCAGAGGACTGAAATAGGCACCCCTTTGTCATTTTGAAGGCTGCCAATACACCACAAATCCAAGTAGCCTGAAAACCACCATACAAAATGATCTACACACATGTAAGAAACCCACAAGGTTTTCATGCTCTTCAAAAAACATTTCTGCACAGAACTGGAACCAGAAGCTTTGCTGAAGGTCAGTTACTGCTGCTCACAGGAGAGCTGGCAATAAGATTCCTGGCAGCCCACAGCATGGGAGGGACACAAAAGTACAATATGCTGTGGAAGACATTGAGGTCTACCTGTGCCCATATTCAGCTAGAATGGAAAAGGAGCCATGACAGTAGCTTGCTCACCATCAAGGATTGCCCACTGGCCATCTATTTCTGTGTGCTTCAGGTAGGAGTCTTCAATAGTTGGGTCGTAGTCTGGCACAAAAATCTTCTGGAAAAATTGAATGGTGAGAGCGCTCTTCCCCACGCCACCATCTCCAACCACCACCAGCTTGTACGTGGGGAGGTTTTCGCTGGGAACGGCACTTGTAGCCATGCTTCCAGGGTGCTAAACCTGCTGGAGAAAGAGACCACCTCTGATCACTCATTAGCAACAAAGAGGGAAACATGCACAAGGCAACTTTTACCTGGTACCTGAGAAGTGAGGATGAACTCCACAACAGGGCACCAGGGGATCTTCTCAGCATTATCTCCTCCATACCCAAATCCAAATTCAAGGTCCTTTTGGCCCTGAGCAGGGCACCTGCCCTCCCCAACAGCTTTGTCATACCCCAGACATGCAGACAGCCCCACTGCTGTGGCTCAGTTTACTCCTTCTCCTGTCTAAAGGGATGACTAATTGCCACCAAATGCCTGTATGCAAGTTTTATCATCTGAGTACCTTTCCTATAGGGCCCAGGCCCACACACCTGTACCAAAATCACCCTGGGTCAACACAGATGTTAAGTTTCAGATAATTTCCAGTTGCCAGTGACCAAATTCCACTGAGAAACTAGGGCTGTGCTCTTCTTCACTGCTTAAGCTATGGCATAGCAAGCCACCAGCCAGAGCTCACAGAGCTGTGGTGGTGAAGGAAGCAAGGGTTAGAGGCCTGGCCCCGCTGACAGAAAAATGCCCTTAGCTGCTCTCTTCTCTCTCAGCCTCAAGTCTGAGAAATAAAAACAAGAAACACACAGAGGGCAGCAGGCCAGGAACTACAGGTGTTTTTTGTTTTGCTCTTTTTAAAAAACTGCCCTGGCAGGAAGGCTGGTTTTGTGGCTATGACACAGCCATGGGAGTCAGGAGATCAGCTTCCCCTGCTGTGTGGCCACACTGCTCCTGTCCCCTGGGGCGACCGCAGAGGAACTGATTCTTCAAGACAGAAGGCAAATTCACTGGGTGCAACTGGACAACAGCACACTCATGTGTGCGCAACTGTGCAGAGAAAGGAGAAGAGGCAGCCACCTGCTGCACTGCCTGCTCTAACACTCACACAGCACAGCAGCTGCTTTGGATGAGGCATCTGCAAGACGAAGCCAACCACCGGCACCTGCTCTGATCCATTTGGCCTTGCTTTGTCACCCTTGGCTTTGCACTGCCGGCTCTCACATGGGTCAGGGATGACTGGGGGGGTTGACAAGGACTATTTCAGACACCCAGCCCTTGTGACAGGGCATGCCTGAACAGAGCAGGGCCCAGCTGCGAAACTCAGCCTCCCTGGGTGAGCTGCAAAAGCAAGTGCTTGCTTAGACAGAGCTGCCTGGTCCCTGGCCCTCACTGCTCTTTGAAGGAGTGCGCAACTCATTAACATATTAAATGGGATAATGGGGAAAAAATAATAACAGTCAGAATTGACTGTGCTGGACAGAGTGCTTCACAGCCCCATAAACTGTCAGTGGGGATACAGATCTGGATGCTAAGCCTCCAAAAGCTTGTGTCTCAATAACTGCAGGGCGGGGGGGTTCTGAATTAAGAAGAGTACTGCCCAGCTTTTTCATTCTGAGATCACAGAGTGGTGCTGATGCACTCGTTGCTGCAGGCTGGCCTGGCTCATGCTCAGGAGCTGAGACTGCACGGCACAAGCTGAGCCACCGACCAGTAATGTTTTATTTCAACCTATAGTATAGGAAAAGAAACTTCTGGAAGTCCTTTCAATTTGATATTTTTTTTCAAACAAAACACTGATTCTTCATTTGCAAATAGGGTCATAAACCAACTTGGACTATTTTTCAAACAGTTAAGAACATAATCCCCAAATGGTTTGATATCACACTGAAGAAGGTATCTAACCTCCAAGTTTAGTTCCTTGTTTCTCTACTCCTCTTCCGCCAAAGCATTATTTCAGTTTAATCCAAATTATTGAACAGTAAAGGCACTTTTCACCCAGAGTGCTTGGGGATCCCCATATTCCTTATCGTATAGTGGAGACCCTACCCTTTAACTAAGGGCTTTTCACAGTCACTTCATAGCTCTGTTAGCAAGCTTTTCCCTCCATTACATATCCAACTTCACATGCATGCAGGCAATCACAGGAAAGGAGGCAAAATAAAAACAGTTGTGAACATTCAAGTTTGAGTTTGTTTTTACTTATGGGAAAGAGATTCTCAGGCCAAAGAAGCTTGCGAAATTCAAGCTGTAATCTAAAATATATCCCTGAAAACATAACAGCATCAGCAGGCAACCCTGAAGCATGCAGTGATACCACTGTTCAAATCATAGCAGAGTCCAAACACAATGAAACATCAATGATTCACTGTGCTGTACACGTATGCATTTTTTGTCCGCAAAGTAGACATGAGAACAAGGTTTCTTTGCTATTTCTTGCCTCTGACTACCACACTATAATCCAACTATTGCCAGCAGGACACAGTTCTGGGAGTTGCATTACCAGCTACAGTCACGGCTCAATGCCAAAAGAGAACCTCCCCCCATTTTTTAATGGAGGGAAAATTCCCTTCTCCTTTCTCCCCAACACCCTGTTATGTATGATAGGAACCCCTTATGCCAGGGTGGCTTCTGCAAATATAAGAATAACTTGTCATACGCATAAACTGTATGTTGTGTAAGTATAATGCCTTGGCCTCTAATTAAGGTCACGTACTGGACATTTCTCCTTGAATCAAATGTGTAGGAACCATTTTAGTTTCTCCTCTAAAAAGAAACCCTGCCAGAGGGACAAAGTGGGTTATCACAGAGGTGAGATTGCTGAGGCTACAAGGAAGTACAAAGACCTCTTGTCCAAGTTGAGACAAGCCAACGTTTTCAGAGCAAGAAGAAACATGACCAAGTCAGCTTGTTTCTGAACTATCTTTGGAGAAATTCTTGAGAATAGCATTTCTGCCACAAGCAACAGCAGCTGGACGGGGAGAAGGACACCAAGCACCAGCTGAGCTCTCACCCACTCTAATTTCAGCTCCTCACCATAATCTTAAGTGAAAGGTTCTTACCCTTGTTTTAGAAAGAGCAAGTGATTTTTCTCATGTTTACAAGATCACACCATCAACAAGCAGTATGCTTGGCTGCATGTTTGCAGGAATCTATGAATTTTCAACTAGGTGTCTCATTTTGGCTTGGAAGACCAAGCTTTCTTTTAGCATCATCCTGCCAGGGTCAGATGATCCTTAGGACTGAGACCTTGTCTAAAAAACTGTCCATCCCCTTCCCCCTCACATTTTACAACAATGTTTTTGCTTTGCCTGTGGCCAAGACTTCACCCCTTCTTTATTTACACTGGAGTGCCTAGGAGTCAGTCACCCTGTGCGTCTCCGGATGGGCCGTATGAAAGACCAATTGTTACTCACATGGCAGAGGACAGGCCACAGATGTGAAAACCATACTCGGTTTGTGCACAATTTTGACCTCATCACAAAACCACAAGCTACTGCTCAGCAGACAAGCATTACTTTTCCACTGACATTCAGTACCAGCCCCTTTAACTCCCTCCTAAGAAGCCTTGAGCTTATCTTGAATGAAACCCTTCCCAAAGTACCATGATAATATTTAGTCCACTGTAGCCCCAGTGTTGGACTTTGTCCAACACTCAAAAGGGTCGAATCAGGGCATTTGCTTCCAGAAGTTTTGTTATACTGCATGTCTAAGTTACCTGAGTAGAAGGCAGCCTGTGGAGAACAAGCAAGAATGGAACTAGAAAAATAAAATCCAAAAAGTATCAGGCACTGCAATCTAGTTTGTTGACCACAAAAGGCGTATTTTAGGTGATGTCAGCATAAACAGACAAAAACTTCTACCGTAATGACAAAAGGCAGCAAGAGCGAATGTTTCCACATAGCTGTTTCTACTGCATCAGCATCCAGTAGCACAGCAGGGCCCCATCACATGCTGCCCAGACATGCCATCCTCAGCACACTGAGGAAGGTCCCCCGAGGTGATGACAGCCAAACTGCCCTAATCCCTCGAGTATTTGCTATGGAGTGTCCTTGTGCACTCTGAACCCAAAAGACACACTCATGTCTGAAGCCAGATAGTCACATCTCACCAGACACCAGCAATGCTCACAAAATACTCTTCTTTCTAATGAGATAGCATGTACCATGCTCCTAAGTACATAATACAATAAGGACATAGAAGTCCCATGCTCATAAGTACATACAAGTACGTAACACAAAACCTCCAAAATCCAAGTACTTCCACCCCTCTGCACCTCCATCTGCCCTGAAAAATCAAAGCAAGAAGATAGCTCATGCCTTGACAAGATTATAATCTCAGCCATCCAATAAATCAAACCTTGAAAACAACATATGTCATGTTAATGCTCCTGGAAAGCATTAAACACTCACAAAGGTGCACAGAGCTTCATGCTGGCTGGTTACATGGCTACAGGCAAGTGTACAAGGCTTGGGCTGATTTTCATGCATTTTTGGCAAGAGTACTGACACAGTCCTCCTCAGAAGGGAGCAAGGATAAACGCGTTTGCTATATATCTGATTGAGAAAAATGAAGCGCAGACATTTTTATCTATTGTCTGAATACAAAGCAGCATGTGGTAATACACTAATAAGCTCTGATGATAATCATCTTACAATTTCTACAGTTGTTTATTTTGAAGGAGCCAAGAGAACGATCCATACCCTACGCAGACAAACACTGGCAGGGCTCTGTGCAAGTCACTGGAAGGAGGCCGATTTACATGGCTGCCCTCACACACACCAGCAAGAACCGTGTCCAGCCAGCATGAGCCCATAACAATGAGGGAGTTGGAAACGTGGCCACTGCTGGGTTGGATGGCAAGGAGGAGGAGAAATAGTGACCCCATAGTGCCACCGAGGTTGATGGTGCTCTCTTTTGCAAGAAGGATTTTTTGTCAGGTACAGAGGCAGAGCGAATGGTGTAAAACCCCATTTACCTTTCTGGATGTCTTGGAGCAGCCAAGGGATATGTGAATACTGATAAGAGAAATTCAGCTTCATTTGTGCAGCTGGGCCACCCAGCCCCACTGGGTCACCACCCCATGGATGCAGCACACCTAACCCCCATCCCCATGGGGAGACTTGCCCTGAATGTAAGAAGGGCAGATCTCAGCTTGTGTAGATCATCATAATTTCCTGCTCATTGGAGCAG